GCTTCATGCTACAGAAACCGGGATAAGCTCCAGCCTGATGGGCCACTTGGCTCGTATGCAGACTTTACCTTACCAAAGTGGCTATTTTTGCAGTCTGACTTGGAATGTAACGGTTGTTTTAATTGTGTTTGAGAGGTGTAACGATGCCAGATTTGGATTTTCAAATGAAGTAGAACATTATGACTAACATGGAAATTGTTCCTGTGTCAAACCCTGGCAATGACCACTGTGACAGTGATGTGGTTTTACTACATTTTGTTTTCAAGATACTGTCGGCTGGATCAGAACCAAACCTCTTTCACTGGCAACTCAATGGCGATCCTAAAGCACAAGTGCCCTGCACTCCAAACTCAGTTTTTGCAATTCAAGTAAACAGTAAATCTCCAAAAAATAAGGTAACCTGATCAAGTGGCAATGTTTTCAGAACAAATTACCAGGGTAATTTAAATTACTCTAGGAATACAGCCAGTCCCCTTTAATCACAGTTTTCACTTCTGGCTGCTTTGGAGCACGGGACTTGATCTTGGTTTGCTGGCAACCTTAGTTACAGGCTCTCTTGTATTACATCAACAATATTCACAGAAGCTCATTCTGTTCTTCTAGGTTTGACCCTGAAAGTTCTCAAAGAAAAATATATCTAGTGCCAAATTGAATATAAGCATTTCAGGGTGCAAAAACATCACAGTTTATCAACAGTTTCAGTTCATCCACATCCTTTCAGCTTGCATTGACTGTATTGTGATATTTGAAGCATACAGCAGCTGACATATGTAATTAAAAAGGGGTTTTTCCTTAAATTCTACCATGTTTGTTTAGTGTTCTCTTGTTTTATTTTTTCTCCAGGTTCTTGCAGTTGGTGGAAGTTCTGCAAATATTGATGTTTTTACAAACTTTGGTTATAAAGCACTTTCTTTAAAATTTTCTCAATAAATGCAACTTTAGTCTTTTCTTGTCATTCAGTGTTAATAATGAGTGTGATTTGCATCATGGCAACTACAATTACATGTTATTGTTCTCAGCTCTTATTGTACTAGTATAGTATAATTCAAGGGGCACCACAATTTGATTATGGGGAACCATAGATTTTTATTTATTTTTATTTATTTATTTTTATCAAAAGGGTCCACAGGAATTTGGTCAGAAAAATTGGGAAAATCATTTTTGTGGCAATATGATTGTGTTTATCACTGTAAGAAACCGCCAGTTTTTATTTTTTAATGGTTAGTGGAAATATAAACAATAAACAACTGCAGGGCATTAATTGGATATTTTGACTCCCTCCTCAGCAGAGGGTAGAAATGTTGGTTATAGAAAGCTGCTGTGCTAGGTGAGTGCAGGCACAAAGTCAAATGGATCAATTGGGCGGCAAACCTCTTCCGCGCTGCCATCACCTTGCACGTAATCCTGTGCCTGTACTCATGTCGTTCATTATTGTCCTTTTTTCTAACAAGATAATTAAGCCATTTATGATGGATTACTTGAATGGTCCATCTCTGGTCTTGCTAGTCTTCTTGACAAGTGTTAGTGAGGAGAAGTGTTATGTGACATGGCTAATAATGGCTACGCTGTTCTCTTGCCTGATAGAGATAAAGTGGAGATCTTTGAAAGATCCAACAAGATGAAGATCTTAGAAGATCCTCATAAATGCTAAGGCAGATCTTCAAAGATCTTGTAAGGTTTTTCACACGGCAGGCTTTTTATGGGGATCAAGGGATTCAGAATATAACAGAACTGGACACAAGAGGAGCTGCTGTGAAACATTGACAACTCTGACATGAAAGTCTTACACAATTATACTTTAATACACAGCAATGAAAAAACTTTTGTTTACACACATTTGTTAACAACTGTACAAAAATCCTTCTCATATATTAAGTTAATGCCTTAAAACACTAGGATCTCTCAATAATATAACTGCTTTATGAAATATTTACAGCTATTGCAAAACATCAACATGCCTCATAAAAACTGCTACACCATTTATAATTTTCACTAAATGTAACACATTACTAATAACCATCCTTTAGATCTTTCAGTTCCATAAATTTGAATAAAATATTTGGTTTTTAATAGACTAGTACAGGGTCTGGATCTTTTCATTGCAATTCCTATTATGTTGTTAATGTAACCAGAATTCCATGATCGTTCATGAATTTGTTCTATGTTGCCACTAATATCCATATAGCTTGCATTTAAAAACATCTTTGTCAGCGCATTCTCTGGTCCTGTCAAAGTAGATGAAATAACCATCTTTACGTTGAAGTTTCTTCACATAGCCATTGTGGGGCCAGCGGTCCTAAAAGAACAAACAAATGAACCATAAGTAAATGGAAGAGATGTTGTTATTGCATGAACAAATTAGTTAAAACAAGTTGTTTAGGGGAGCTCAGTCACAGGTATTTTAAGTTATTTTGGTCACATGCAGAATTGCCTTTAAATTTAAGAAAACCTGAAAACAATAATTTACTAACTTAGATAGAAAAACACAGAAGAGATAATAATAATAATAATCCATAAAGAAACAAGGATGGCGAAGGATGGAGAAGATTGACACAGATTACAAATGATGAACTTGAAAAATTCAGGCTTAACTTTTCAAGATGCGCAAACTGTGATGTAGTTCCTGTAACACATTGTAGCCACTGGGTAACATTACCCTGGAGTTAAAGTACTTGCCCAATTCAACTTCTGGTTTGTCAACACAGTTTGGTCTAAAAGAAGTTATGTAAGTTGTCAATGGACATCTTGAAAACTTGTGCTTAAAGTTTGCAAGTTTGTCAACTACAATCCCTCACACAGTAGTCATGTCCCACGCCATCCTTGTTTCTTCTCTGTTTGTTGTTTCTATTTCGGTGTTTTTGATATTTTACTTAATACATGGTTTCAGCCCCTCTATACTTACTGATTGCTTTTCCTGTTGACCACGCTATTTAAAGGCATGACAGTTTGCGCATCTTGAAAAATTTAGCCTAAATTTTTTAAGTTCTCCATTTGCAATCCGTGTCAGTCTTTTCCATCCTTCACCAACTTTGTTCCATCATGGTTTACTATTATCCCTTTCGTGTTTTTCCGTCTCAGTAAACTAATATTTTCAGGTTTCGTTTAGTTTAAAGGTCACTTTGTATGTGGCCAAAATAACTAAAAATGCCGTGACTCAGAACGCCTATATACTCATCACGTGATAGCTTGGCTGCTAAAAAAAAATCCACCTATTCCGCCTAAATGAGAAGCAATCTTGGTGATGGGAACTTTTATGATGATTTCCTTGGTTTTCGTTTATACTAACAATGTCCATCGTGTGGAGTTGTAATGTCATCAGACACATCAATGCCCAATAGTTCATAAAATTCGACATTCTGGGAAACTTGTAGGTAAGCTAGTGATTTTATATCACTTACTGGTTCTTTCTGCTTGACATCGCGATATTCATGAACATCTCTGTACCCAGCGATTTGAAATCTGTAAGCTGCAAGGTAACGAAAACAAAGCAGCTCCTTAATTGTATCACAAGTGAAACATTCTCTTGAAGAAGCATTTGATACCAACTCAACTGCAGCTGGCAGGGAGCTATTTAACTGTACCTTCTTCGACTTCTTCGCTCCAGCGCTTTGGTCTTGAAACTGATTTCGGTCTTGAAGGCTGAGCAATCGGAGATACGATAGACGCCATAGTGTTTGAATCTAAAAATAAAGAAATGTTAGTCTCGTAAATGGTGCTTGCATCTTCTAGCTTCCTCTAATTCACCAGTTACACGTACCGCTCGGTTCGCCTAGAATTATCTTGCTTGACTCCACAAAGGGCGAAAACTACTATTTGTGGTCACTTCTAACTATTACAGGGGTAAAATACCTCGCAGTTCAATGCGAAAAGTCAAGGAAATGTCAAGCTCACAAAAATTCTCAGTACAGACTCGATGAAAACGGTGCGAAATTTGCGTGACCAGCGCGAAAGAGCAATCGGAGACATGAAATCAGAATATATCAGTGAATTTAGGGGAAAATCATCCTTCTACAGAAATTAACCGGTTCAACAAGGACACAAACGCGACAGAACCTACCTTACTGATCTCTGTTCTCAAAATGATAACTAAACGACGAAATCTTCGCTGATAAACTGTTTGCAATGTTTTGCTCGCGCTATGCAACAGATGTGTTGCTGTCACCTGATTGGTTTATCGGGGGTTACCATAACAACAGAAAAACAATTAGAATAACTTTGAGCCCACACGGTGGTCAGCTGTGTTTCTTTGTAGTAGTAAACAAAAATGGCGGACGGAGCAGATTGATTCGCAAGAAGGATGGATTTTCTTTTAATGGCGGTGTTGTATACTCTCTTTTTTGTGGGGCTGTCGTACATCATTTTCCTCGGAAGGTCTGGATATCATCGGGGTGGCTGGGTTGGTCTGCTCCGAAGAAACTTATTTTCGGTAAGCTTATACATGTAAAGTCAGGAAGTGCATGGATCGACAACTTTAAGCTCAAGTTTTGCAACATCACTTGGTTTCCTTGCGCTTAATTGGCGTATCAGTACGTATGAAATATGGTTTATGCTTATTTCAGAAATCTCATCACTAGGAAAAATGTCCATAAATGATCTTTTAACATAAAGCTATGAATGTTCATTTATGCAAACTATGTGTACTTTTCCAGGTTGCACATTTTGTGAAGTCCAGTTTTCAAAGGTGCATTCCTGCAGCTGTTTCTCGAACAGTAAACAACATCACAACGTACATTCTGTTTACAAGGTATATATATATATATTAGCTTTTAGTATAAATCTACTAGCGTTCTATCACGAATGCCATTCTCTGATTGGCTATGCTACTCACTTTCTGTTCTGTTGTAGATAGTGAGTAGCGTAGCAGCGTACGCTGGGGATTATTCGCTCTCGATTTCTATGGGCGATGGTTGACTCGGGCTGCGCCCTCGTCAACTATCGCGCGATAGAAATCTCGAGCTCATAATCTAATCGTTAAATAGAAAGAAAAGAAAAATGGTATATATCATTTTATGATTATTTTTTAAGAACATAAGCAACATGCATGTACCTGTACATGTACCTTATAGTCTGTACTGTGTCAGTGTACGTCAAGCTCAATAAAATTCTCAATCTTTACATGAGTTTGTTTGTGACAGAGATTTCTTGCAAAGTAACTTGGATACAAAAGTAGAGAACTGCCAGTATTTTTTTAAATACCTATAAGTTGCCAAAATTTTACCAAAAACTTTACATTTTTATGTTTTCTTTTCTTCAGGAATCCATGCATTCAACTATTTTATGGCTTTGTTATTACTGGAGGGACTGCTATATACACCTTCAGGGTCATCCCATTCTTCGATAAAATCAATGTATTTAGCATTGTTACGTATATACTTATAGCCATCAATGTGACACTCTTTTGGATTTGTTCCACCAGTGAGCCTGGTATCATTACAACCATAGATCATGCTGATTACATGAATGACTATGAACCTGATGGTGTATATTACACACAACCGGAATGTTATACATGCAAGTTTATTAAGCCAGCGAGGTCAAAACACTGCAGTAAGTACACATATAGATTGTTTTGAGGTTCCTTTTAATTCCAAGTATGCCACTCTCAAGTGTTCTACAACTGT